GTCCTGGTATTCTTACCCTTTTGGGAGAGTGACTTGTTCGACTGTTAAACTCTGTGATTCTTCAGTTTCTGGGTAAAACAGCTTTGACAGAGCCAGAGCTGCAGGTGCTGCCATTACTGAGGCGCTGATAAGATGCGTTGGGCTGACACCAAATCCAATATACGCCCCTAAAACACTGCCTGCGATGGTTGCAAAACCTCCAGTCATAACAGCATGTAGCTCAGAACGTGTCATTCTGTTCAGGAATGGTTGAATTAGAAGAGGTGCTTCCGTCTGCAAAAAAATACAACATAATATAAATTAACGTAATAAAAAGTACCGTAAACTGATCATTTCTGTAGCAATGCAAAATGATTAAATTTATAATTATTAGCATGTGAATCATTATTCTAGTATATACAGACTAAAATAAGAATAGATAAAATAGTATTAAGAGTTATGATGATGAAAGCTAAAAGATAACAAAAGTTAAAATGACATAGTTATAACAATAAGTCAATATTATGTGAGTTCAGATGATGAGGGTTATGAGGATTAGAGTTAAGACCATGAATTACTAACATTAATTAAGATAGTGCAAGTTGCAATAAGTTCAGATGAGAATTAGTAAAATTGAGAGTTCAATTCACAATGAAAATTATAATTTGCAAGAGAATGGGAAATGCATGCCGTCGGAAACAAGATGCTTACCTGTCCAATAAAGATATTACCAGCAGCGTTTAACGACTCACAAGCCGATGTTTTCATTGTGCTGGACATCACCCAGGCAATTTTACTGACAACGACTTGCATCGCACCAAGATAGTACAGTACAGCTATACAACTACTGAAGTAGATCACAACTGGTAACAACTACAAAGGAGATAAAGTTGTTAGTAAACATGGTCTTTCGTTTCTTTACATACAATTTGAAAAATCTTTGTGTAAAGGAAATACTTTCTCTTCAATGAATTGCTTACTTTGTAGGTTTAACTTTTTATATTTTAATTAAAAATTTATTTACAAATTTAGTTTTCTCAACCCTTAAATTTGGTGGCAATCACTTTAAGACTTGATAACTTTTTCATTTCTAATTTCAAAGTGATTTAAAGTTTTAAATGACAGGTTTCACAGACATTACCACAAACCAGTATATCATTGTGTTCGGTGATTGGCTAAAAAGCAACATGTGATCAATGATTCACTGAAAGTATAGTATATATCCTAATTGTGTTTCCTTGATGCCCCAACAGATAAAAAAAAAATTAAATTACTACAAATCCAAATATGATTGTCATACGAGTTGCCTTACCTTGAAAGCAAAGAAATGGTTCGTGTACAATTCCCCAAAGAGAAAACTAGCCCCATAGTCGGAATAACTTAGGAAATTTGCGACCACAGCACCAATTGAGCTAAAGACGTAATAGCCAATAGAAGATCGTAAGACAAACAGACCAAGAAGAAACTGCAGAATAAGGCCACAAACTACTGGACGCCAATTTACCTATTAAAAAGTGGAAAAAATAAATTTTGTTGTGAATACATATTTACAAAATTAAAGATTGGTGTCATTTTATGTAGAATTTAACAAGCATAGATTTGATGTTAATTCCATAAACTGAATAGATATTCACTAACTATAAAAGTTTGTGTCCAAATTGACTATTTTGTCAATCCAACATTGTTGTATCTGATTCATACGATATTGTTTACATGTATTAGAGTGATATTACAAAGAAAGGAACAAATTAATTTTAATGAAACCAATGTTGTACTTAACATTTTTTTTCACTATTGAATAGCTAAAATAGCTATATCTATAACAACATTGTATGTACAAAAAAAAATGAACGTACTGTATATCAGGCATAAATAAAAATGTATAACAGTAATGCACCGGTATTCAAGATGGTCATGGTACAAAGATGTGACTTACATGTTTTGGGTGTTTTGAAAACACGAAGCAGAAGAGAGTGATTGTGATTGGCCCTAAGCCAGAAACAAGATGTTGAGGGTTGTCCTTTGTAGTCATGGCGATGGTGAAGACAATTAAGATAATGATGCATATAATCACTGGCCTGGGAAAAAATCAAGCATAATAAACAGATGAATGTTTCAAATTCCTTTTAATTTGTTTCTAATTTGCAAAATCTAACAAGTTTAAAGAATGATCATCTTTTGCTTAGAGTAAATCCTAAGAACATACAAATTAGAATCAAACGATTAACAGATTAACCAATATTCTAAATATAAATTATTTACTGTCAGATATATATGTACTGTCTTAGTCTAAAAGATTAGCCCATTTCTTAAGAGGCTTCTTAACTCTGTAGTGAGATCTAAAACATTCAATTTGTAAACATTATTAAGAGTAAATAGTCAGCTTTACAAATCTGAAAGCTGTTTTAAGCTGCATCAGCTTCAAACTTAAAAATGCGTTTTGTAAAAAACTATTGTGCAGTGCCATTTAAAAATCACTGTCAATTTTTTTTTACACTCAATTTAAGGTTCAATTCAACATGACCACCATGCATCATAGCTTCAAAATGATAATCAAAGGGCTTAAATCCATGACTAAGGTATCAAATTAACTTTTTTTGTTTTGCCCTATCATTAAAGATTTACATTTACAGATTTCAAATGTATATTTAGCTAGCACCTACCATTTTATAATATTCCAGTTATGTGTGATTAAATTAGTGGATGGTTTCAATGTTTCCCAGATAGCGTCACCGTAGTGATCCCTTATGAAGCAATAGACGCATAAAAATGCAACTACTCCGGTCAGATAAAGCAATGTCTTAGCACCACTGAAGTCGTACAGACACGAAAACACCAGATAAACGATCCAACCGATAACAAGCGACCCGTAAACAAATTTCTTGATCTCGATATGATAATTTACATATGTCTCCTTCCCAAACTCACTTAACAGATCAAGAGTCTAAACAAAAATCAAACAAGTGGCAATATGCCAATTAATTACAATACATTAAGAATAATGAAACAAACATAGAATTTGCATTTTAATATATTTTGTTTAGCAAAAAATTTGTAACATCTATATTGTATTTAAGCTAACTATTCTCAGGACCAATAGTATAGTACTATATGCTTACTTGTGCATTATGTTAAAACAATATTTAAGGCTTTAATTGTAAAAATATTTTCAACTATATAGTTATTATGTTTTGTGATCCTTGTTTCTATACACATTTTTTTAAAATAAGAACCAGTAAAATTTTGCCCAGGCTCTTATTATCTTGTTATTTTGTTATTATTTTACACATTTTTCAAACACAGAAAATTATTATTTTACAGCTGGTAATTTAAATTAACTTACTATATTGTAGAGGGTATTATATACAGTAGTCACACCTACTGCACATAAGGTACAGGTAAGATTTGTTGGTTTTTCTTTTTTCTTCATTTGGCATTTTACCTCAGCCTCAATTTGTTATTATTTTGTTCTTAAGTTTTACCTAATTTCAGCCTCAGTGTTCTTATAAAAAAATTTGTACTGTATTGTTCTTTGGCAGTTTACTTTCAACTTTTAAACTTTTAATTGAATATGCTATTTTGGAATTGTAAATACCACTGTATAAAATGTACCATTAATCAAAATCAATACTTACAGACCAAAGGGCACATGATTTATCAGAATATACAGGTTTGATATCCCCTTCTTCCATTTTCTTGAGTTCGTCTCCATTGGGAGTAATTTTAGTTGGTCCCTCGTATCCATCCTTCAAGTTAACATTTCCATTCATTTTCCCAAAGTCGTATACATCTCCTTCCTCCTGCATTTCATAAGCATCCTCCTAAAAAAGAAAATATATCTTTTTAAAAAATGAATTCATAAAAATATATTTTATGTTGAAATAATTAATGTGAATTTTGATAAGTATTTTAATTCTATAAATCTAAAACATAAACATTAAAACTTCCTCTAAATGAAAAATATAATTATCTATTCTCTTATCTCTGCTGATATAGATTATTTATCTTGAATTCCTTAAAATACTATAAAAATTATATATCTATTAATTTTTATTAAAGTTTATCCAGAATAAAAACTGAATAATCAAATCCATATATCACCTGAGTGCCTGACAGATCTTTATAACTCATTTCTAAAGTTAAACTCCAACCACCTTGACAAGTTCTTCGAAAAAGTTTTCAAACCAAATTAGGGAAATACCAACCAACAAAGTTTATATACCCAAGCCAAGTCCCCTAGGCACATTTATAGAGGGCAGTAATTCTATCATTCCAACCCAACCAGTAGTGCCTTGAAAGAGGTTCTTTTGACCTAAATTAGGGTCAACCCAACCAGTAGTGCCTTGAAGGAGGTTCTTTTGACATAAATTAGGGTCAACTAGCAAACAATGTTTAGGTCAGCTAAACAGGTGGGAATGTACATCAAAGGAAAATTTGCTAAAGCTTGCACTTTCCTTGAGCTTCCTTCAACCTGGAGTTGGTAAAAGTATCTCTACAAGGTACATGATTTGATTTTTTTTAAATTAATATCTTGTAAGCTTTGCTTGCAAGGATAAATCTAATATTATTCAATCCTCTTAAATATTTGCAACACAACACGGAAATACAAACAAACTATAGAATGGTTTTATTAGAGATACAGTAGGTTATATTCTATAATCCTACGGCCTACCTGTACATTTTATTTATTGTTTCTTTACACTGTCAGAAAACTTTAGTACTCACTTTTTTGTATTCTTAAGACAATATATTAATGAATGAAACAATAAAACTATGTACTACAGTAATACTGTAAGTGCACTGTATTATCATCTAAAAACGGGAAGTCAACAAGACATGCAACTCATCAATTTACCCAGGTGTGTGTAAAGACTAGACTCCATATGTTTATTTTAATCTGGATTATATTATGCATACCTGTACCACTAAGGTGCAATATTGGTCCTACCCTTACTTTACCATCATTTGCATTAGATTTGCAGGCCTCAAGCAAACCAAATTTATCCTCACTTGCTGGGCTAGATACATTGTAGGCCTCTAGCTAGTCATCATCACCAACTGGGCTCTGAGGTTTCTTAGGCCTCCAGCTAAATCCAGTATGTAATATAACCTTAATTAAATTGTAGTCATAGGGAAAAAAATTGCCATTTTAGTTTCATGTTTCAATCCCATAGGATAGTGTGACAATAATCATTTGGAAAGGAACCAAGAATGTGTCAACTGAATTAATTTTAAAACAGCGAGAAAAAGATTCAAACACGAAGCGAATGAAGTTATAAATAATGCACCGTAGGCCTATCACATACACACCTGGATTTCAACTTCTGAACCAAGGTCTACAGATGGACCACAAATTTCAAAATTTGGAATGTGAGCTATCAGAGTTGTATGATTTTCATTAAACCTAACCAAAATTTCATTTTCCAAGACTTTCTTTCTATTCTAAACTAAATTCGTGCCCATTGATCTTGTGAAGTTAATCAGGCTTATGAGAATTTTCTGAAGTTATGAAAGAATACCTTATCTTATCTAGCATAGCATTTTCTGTTATATTTTAAATGTTAATAATCAACACCAAAAATGTAAGCAAAAACTGATGTCACATATAGTATGAATGTCACTCCAGAAATTGACAAGGCCATTTTTTGTTCAACGTTTTGCTTTTATTAAAAGCATCATCAGGAATAATGTATCTACTATGAACATTTTTTCAACTCGTGCAAAAATAAATTCTCCTTGTTCTTAATTTATAAACACACTATTAAAAATCACTTTTATCTCATGTATCAAAATATTTTAAGACAAATTTACAGTAATCTAAAGTATATACAAAAATATAAAAGGAAATTTAAAGACAGGCAATTCACTTTCTTTTCAATCAAGCAGTACTGTTTTTCAACTCAATACCAGCATAATTAAGACTATTATGTGTTGTACTATGTACATGTTTTTGTGTTGTAAGAGAAAGATTTTTTTCTGAGTAGCAGCATTGGTGGATGAAAAAAAAAACAAAACATGAATACCTGTCACTTTCATCGAAGGAACAGGATGATAAATTATATGCCGACTTTTCATTCTATGGCCCAAGTTTGTATATTTTCTGACTACTTTGGTGGAGATTTACTAAAATTTAAATGGTCAAACGTATTTAAGCTAATAATTAATTTTGTATACCAAAAACCAAGAATTCATATTACTATATCCAACCTTCCATATTTTCAAGATCAGTTTGAGGAAAGTTCAGGCATACTTTGAAACAGAATTAAGAGTTCAAAGCTCCTTCAGTTCATTGCTTTGGGCTACACAAAATCTGGTCAGTTTAAGATATCACATTGAGACCCTTGTTAGCATGGGCATCTTTAAGTAATTTAATTTATTTACTAGACCCATCCCTTCCAGTCAAAAGTAAAATCCAATAAGTTCTGGTTTAAGGTCTTAAAAAATATTATGTTTAGAGAAAAATACACCAAATATTAAGTTGACCAAAACTCTGATAAAAAATCAGTGACTAAACCAAAGAGACACTGGCTTGAAATTCAGAAAAATAGAACTGTAAAATATTGTTTGTTATGTAAAATAATTCTTCTTTTTGAATTTATTGAATTTAATATTCAGTAATTAGTTACAGGGTCAAAAATATTAATTTTTAAAATATACTTTGCAATTAATATATTGAAATTTAAGCTGTATCATATTACTGATACCAATTGTAGTTTTCCACCAAGCAAACCGCATAAACTAAGATTTATCAGAAGGCAATTCTGAGAGATAAATTGGGTCAAATCCTTAATATTTAAAATCAAAGATTGTCCTGTTATTAAGGTGACATAACTGACATAGTCTCTGACATTGGATAAATTGTGTTAATTTGACATTTTGCACAATATCAAACACCTGTTGATACGTTATTCATCATAATCAATATGGCAGCCTGTCACATTGATTTACTCTGAAATCGTACTCAGTGATTCCATTAATTATTACAATTACAGTCTACCATATGCAAAATTAAAATCGATTGGAACAATTATAGATTATTCTACATTCCACAGAGAAGCAGTCTCGTGTCTGTGTTTATATTTTACATGTGGGAATTGTTTACATTTTACATGTGGGGGAAATTATGCTTTGGTGGAGATTTACTAAAATTTAAATGGTCAAACGTAATAAGCTAATAATTAATTTTGTATACCAAAAACCAAGAATTCATATTACTATATCCAACCTTCCATATTTTCAAGATCAGTTAGAGGTAAGTTCAGGCATACTTTAGATGAAACAGAATTAAGAGTTCAAAGCTCCTTCAGTTCATTGCTTTGGGCTACACAAAATCTGGTCAGTTTAAGATATCACATTGAGACCCTTGTTAGCATGGGCATCTTTAAGTAATTTAATTTATTTACTAGACCCATCCCTTCCAGTCAAAAGTAAAATCCAATAAGTTCTGGTTTAAGGTCTTAAAAAATATTATGTTTAGAGAAAAATACACCAAATATTAAGTTGACCAAAACTCTGATAAAAAATCAGTGACTAAACCAAAGAGACACTGGCTTGAAATTCAGAAAAATAGAACTGTACTGAAATACTGCCAGGGCCGCTGAGAGAACTGAAATTTGTTTGCATCGTCATCATTTATCCCTTTCAAATTACAATGACCTAATGTTTCTGGAGAATATGGGAACATACAATTTTTTTGAGGTTCAAAGGAATTATGATCCAGGAAACAAAAAAATTATGATGACAAAAGCAAAACAAAAACAAAAACAATAACATTGAAGAGTACTTAAGTACTCTTCATAATTTCCCCCACATGTAAAAATAATTTCATGCCCAAGCTATTAACAAGGGTCTCAATGTGATATCTTAAACTGACCAGATTTTGTGTAGCCCAAAGCAATGAACTGAAGGAGCTTTGAACTCTTAATTCTGTTTCATCTAAAGTATGCCTGAACTTACCTCTAACTGATCTTGAAAATATGGAAGGTTGGATATAGTAATATGAATTCTTGGTTTTTGGTATACAAAATTAATTATTAGCTTATTACGTTTGACCATTTAAATTTTAGTAAATCTCCACCAAAGCATAATTTCCCCCACATGTAAAATGTAAACAATTCCCACATGTAAAATATAAACACAGACACGAGACTGCTTCTCTGTGGAATGTAGAATAATCTATAATTGTTCCAATCGATTTTAATTTTGCATATGGTAGACTGTAATTGTAATAATTAATGGAATCACTGACGTACGATTTCAGAGTAAATCAATGTGACAGGCTGCCATATTGATTATGATGAATAACGTATCAACAGGTGTTTGATATTGTGCAAAATGTCAAATTAACACAATTTATCCAATGTCAGAGACTATGTCAGTTATGTCACCTTAATAACAGGACAATCTTTGATTTTAAATATTAAGGATTTGACCCAATTTATCTCTCAGAATTGCCTTCTGATAAATCTTAGTTTATGCGGTTTGCTTGGTGGAAAACTACAATTGGTATCAGTAATATGATCCAGCTTAAATTTCAATATATTAATTGCAAAGTATATTTTAAAAATTAATATTTTTGACCCTGTAACTAATTACTGAATATTAAATTCAATAAATTCAAAAAGAAGAATTATTTTACATAACAAACAATATTTTAATGCTGAATATTAATTTCAACAAACATTTCTGGTTCTGATAGCAATAAAGGATTTATTTTACATAAAAAATTCAAACAGTAATTTAAAAATGTAATTTTTTTTTTCTCTTCAAATTTATAATTTTACGGCAAGTAATATATAAATTACATCATCATTTGATTTTT